TACCAGAGGATAAGGAACAAGTTACATGTGCTGAGGAGACCCCATCATATAATCAGACACCTGAAAATAGAAAGCAACATGCTCTCTTCACTGACAGTTCCTGCTATATCATTAGGGACAAATCAAGTACTAAAAGCTGCTTTATAGAGTCCTACATGGCAAGTCTCAGAAACTATTGGGGCACAAGGGGGATCCAGTCAAGTCATAGAATGGAAAACCATCCAGCTGGCTTTAGATATCACTGAATAAGAAAAATGGCCAGCACTCTACCTCTGCACTGACTCGTGGACGGTAGCAAATGATCTCTGGGTTTGGCTAGGCCAATGGAAAAAAGGCCAATTGGCAGCACAGAGGAAAAGGCCATCTGGGCTGTTGAATTGTGGCAGGACATCCCTGCCTGGATAGAGAAGTTGACTGTGAAAGTACATCACAGTAGATGCACATGTGCAGTGCCCAAGAGCTGGGCTCCTGAAGAGCATTGCAACAATGGACAGGTGGATCAACCTGCCAAGATAAAAGTGGCTGAGGTGGATCTGGTCTGGTAACACAAGGGTGAGATATTTCTGGCTCAGTGGGTCCATGACGCCTCAGGTCATCAGGGAATAGATATAATATACAGATGGACTCATGATTCATGGATGGATTTGACCATGAATTTTATCTCCCAGATTATTCATAATTATGAAACTTGTGTCATGATCAAGCATGTGGGTGAAGCCCCTTTGATATGGGGTATAATGGTCAAACTATAAATATGGGGAGCCCTGCCAAATTGATTACATCACACTCCTGCAAACCTACCAAGGCAAGTGGTACATGTTGACAATGGTGGAAACAACTAAGGGATGGCTGGAGGTGTACCCTGTGCCTCACACCACTGCCTCTAATACCATCCTGGGCCTTGAAAAGCAAATCCAGCACCAAAAAAACCCCTCAAAGTCAGACAATGGGACTAATTTCAAAAACAGACTCATAGATATCTGATCCAGAGAGCACAGTGTTGAGTGGGTGTATCATATTCCCAATCACATTCACCAGGCACTGAGAAAGTGGAATGGTGCAATGGACTGTTAGAACGCACAATGAAAGCACTGGGTGGTGGGATCAGACATTGGAATCTACATTTAGTGAAGGCCACCTGGTTAGTTAACACTAGAGGCTCTACCAATAGAGCTGGACTTGCCCAATCAAAACCCCTCTGTACCATAGAAGAAGATAAAGTCCCCATGGCACATATTGGAAGAGTGCTGGGATGACAGTTAAGATTAGTCTTGGCTCAAACAAGGGCAAACTGTTTTCACTCAAGGACTGGGGTGCACTTGGTGGGTAATATACAGGAACAGGGAAACATCACACATAACTTACGGGAATTTAATTTTTGGTTGAGAACAGCCTGAAATGTTTAATTACATATGTGATATCAGTTCCTAAGTAACATTGCAGTTGTATGTCCTAAATACCATGGTCAACGAGTATGGACTGCTCCAGTTACACCACTCATGGACTAAATGAATTCAACAAACATCTTGAGTGGCTTGCCAGTGACTACTGAAACAATACCGTGCTTGTGTATAAATATATGTCTCTGCATTTATATATGTGTGTGTGTGTGTGTGTGTGTGTGTGTGTGTGTGTGTGTTGAAAGGCATAAGATCTGGGCATGACCTTGATAGTCTAGAAAAAGGAGTGGATAATATCATGGTTATAGAGAAAAGGAGTGGATTTTCTTGCACTGTTTAATTTCATACTACCCACATCATGACAGGGGCATGGTTTAAGCAGGAAGAAGATGGAGTTGGAAGCAGAAGGGGCACCCTTCAAACAATGGGGTGTTCAGGTTTCAGGGTCGAAGCTAGTCTCTCTCTGCCACTGACAGTCCCTTTCTCATTCCTTTGATCTGCAGCTTTCCAGCTTTTGTTCTGAAAGACAGCTCTGGCAAGCCCAAGACACTGCCCTGAGGAAAAGGTAAAAAGAGTGGACAAGGAGAAGAGCCCAGCTGAACTGTGTGGACCCCAAGCTGCAGCTGTGGTGATAACAGAAGAGCTGCAGATGGTGGCCAAGCTGCAGTGGAACTGTCAAGTGCTCCAGGGAGGTCCAGGAAAGGTTCCCCTGGGCCAGAAGAGCTGCAGATGGTGGCCAAGCTGCAGTGGAACTGTCAAGTGCTCCAGTCCCACTTCTATAAAGGCAGGTCCAGGAAAGGTTCCCCTGTGTTGCTTCAGAGCCCTGTCAGGTCCCACCAAATTTTGTCTTGTCCCTGTATTTCCATTGTGTTTGGGCTGGGGGTTGAGGGAAGGAAGTTAAACCATGAGCCTCCCTGGCTTACTGCCTCTGCTTTCCTATATACAACATAGCTTACCCAGAAGTCAGTGGCTATTTCACCTTTGTCTGAGAAAATCACACCTGGAATTGTCTTTGGGAAATGTTTTCCTTTGTTGAGTGGTAAATATACTCTTTTTTTGGTAAAACACTCTCTTTCATTAATATTGCTGTGGTTATTGTGATTTTTCCATAAATTGTTATTCCATTTTACAGTCTCTCTTAGTGTTTCCTCCAGTATCAGAAGGCGTGGGGAGACATCTTGAGTGGGTTTAATTTTCCCACTGGATTTTAAACACACCATGTGTTAAAATGTGCATGATAGAAGAGAAGAATTGAGCAATACAGAACTTAAATTTGCAACTATTACATGTTTTAATTTGCCAGTTAACTACTATGTATTTTTCAGCTATGCAACTTATACTAACTTTTAGAAAAATCTATAAACCACGGTTTAACAGAATAAAGTGCTTTCATGCCTTTTGTTGTTCTTTCTTTTCCTTAGTTCTTTCTGTGCTTCCTCTGCCCTTTGCATCAAGCTAAATTTTTTCTTCCCTTTCATTCAGATCACCCCACCAGGCTACCTCAGGCTGTCTGTCTGATGTGTTTCATTGTGTTTTTCTCCTCCTTCTTTTCCCATGAAGCCAGGCTTCACTTCTACTCCATTTCTTTTACATTAATAAGTTCACTGTGGTTTTTAGGTCATGGTTCTAGTTTTGTAGCTCATAGTTCCTAAATTTTAGTTTCCCTAGCCAGTATATTTTCTTTATAAAAGTGCTCCAAAAGATGGCTTTCTAAATACTTCTTCAAGTAAAAACCATAAATAATAGAATTAATTTTAATTGTATGATCAAGATGTGTACATATTCTATATGTGAGATTGTGCTGTCTTATGGATGTTGCTTGTCTTTTCCCTGTGGCTCTAAAATCTCTGAACAATACTGATTCTTCCACAGGACAGATTGGCATCTTCCTATGTGTATCACTGACACTATTAGCATCTTCTTCCTTTGATCTATTTAAATTTCAGCAGAGCAGATATTCATATGTTTTCTAAGGAAATAGAAAATTGAAATAGAAAATTGACTAGAAAATATTAATTTTTGCTGTATTACAGTGAGAATACCTCAGCCCCAGAAACTATCTCCACCTTCATTTCAAGGTTTAGTACAACACATGAGAATAACTCAAAATGGAGACCTCCCTCACCTCCTCAGCTAAATATGTATTTTCAGCTGGTTAAATTTCATTTTCCTTAGCTTGTGAGGATATGCTGTATCAAGTTATGTGATGAGAAATCAATTAGAAGAGCAGGTGATATAGTGCAACTGGAGAGCCACATGGGGTTATATGATAAGAGAGGTTTTTAAAAGACACATGGCAACCAAGTAATATGTCTTCTACAGGGATCTTTTCAGCAGAGACCTTTCCCTGAAAAGCACTGCCCCAGCTGTTGGGCAAAGCCCTGGTTTCTTGTCCATCCCTTGACCCGTGTGCAAGGAGCAGCTGGTTACCACATTAACACACCACCAACAAACTCTCTGGCATGTAAAGGCCTGAAAAAGAAGAAAGGCCAAGGTACAACGCTGGAAATACACGAGGCAATTATGAGAAGGGGCTCAACACTGTGCATCTTACAATCAGTGCATGCAGTTTGACAGGTTTTGCATTTTTGCCAGTATCACAGCTCAGTGCTCATTTCTCTGAGCAGCTGCAAAATTTGGGAAGCTTCCAGCTCACAGGAAATTCTAGATTTTTTTCTTATTTGTTCATTTTGGGCTGATTCAGAAAAAAACCCCTTTTTAAAAAAAATCTGGAAAGTGTAATGCTGCTTTTTAGCCAGCTCTGCTTTATGAACTACTACATGGCAGTATGGTACACCAATTACTGACACTCAGTTTGGCTGGAAAGAGGAATCTAAGTGCTGATGGCTATAAATGTCACTTTTAGGAAACACTGCCCAAATAAACTTATCCACACATGAACTACTTAGGCTGTCCACTCAGTATTCATAAATCTTAATAGGTATTTTCTTTTCCTGATTTAAAAAAATAAAAATTGTCAAGTACCAAAAAATAAAAAATAAAAAAAAAACTAAAAAAATTCTTATCCTTGATATAATGCTCCTAATCTTTTCTATGAAAGAGAGTAATCTGCACCTGCAAATTCAGCTTTTCTGTAAATTGATTAGATATTTTTAAGTAAAAGAAAATATTTTATTTAGCATAGATTCCTTGTTTTGCAATTTTGTTCAGGTCATGGAGAAATCCAAAACAGAAATGGAAAACTTTCACCTTAAAATTTTTCTGGATTTTCACTGGCACATTTATCTGCAACGTCATGCTTGAAGAGCTTTGGAAGAGTAGAAATGCTCAACACTTCTCATTTACAAGATAAATTCACTGTGCTTCATCATTATTTTAAACCAGCTTGGTTTATTATCCTTCTAAAGAGTCAGTCATGCATCTGTGTCATATATTAACATGAAAAATCTCAAAATCCCCACATGTTATATCCTCAAACAACCACAACTACCATGGCACTTCTGTAAAACATTGAGATTGTCAAAGACATCTTGACATGTTCACAAGAACTGAAGCAGTCAGTCATTTTCAACACAGCACAGATGAACACAACTGAAACTACATTTCTAGGACATGTCCTACAACAGGAAGGAGACTCACTGAATGGCTGATGTTGGAGAGCATCTCTGGAGAGGATCTAATCCAAGGCTTCTGCTCAAGTGTGGTCAGATAAAGCAGGTTGCCCAGGATCATGTCTGGTTGGGTTTTGAGAATGCACACAAATGGTGATCCCTCAGCCTTTCGGGGAAACCTGTTCCAGTGTTCAGACAGTTATGGAAACCGTTTTTTCTTATGTCTAATCAGAAATTCTGTATTTCAGTTTGTAGCCACTGGACACCTGTGAGGAGAGTTTATATCTGTCTTCTTTATTCCTCCCAACAGTTATTTTTACACATTTAAAAAGTTCCCCTAAACCCTATTTTCTCCAGGATGAATAGTCCCATCTCTATACTCCTATGTCAGGTACTCCAGCCCTTCAATATTTTAGCTCCAGTTTGCTAGATTTATTCTACTCTCTTGGTCTCTCATTTCATACCTGCCTTGTACTGGTGGGTTCAGCACTCCAAATGTGTCTCACAAGTGCTGAGCAGAGGTAAAGGATCACTTCCTTCAATCTGCAGGCAACACTCATAAATGTGTGTCACAGTAGCATATGTACTTTGTTTGGAAGACTCTGCTGCTTCCTTTGCTGTAAAGTTGTCCCGACAGCAGAAGTTTTCAGTATCAACGTCTATAAATCATTTTCATTAACTGTAAAAAAAATCAATGCAGATGAAAAATAGGACCAAATACAAAATAGACATGAAGTTGTTCAAGTTTTGGCTGAGACCTAGAAAACTCAGGTCTCTATGCAGATCTTCCCAATCTCTGTACTCTGCCTACTTTATTTAAGCTTAAAAAAAATACCTTTGATCTTGTTTAAGACTAGAAAATTTAAATTAAATCATTAAGGTAAAATTTCATTATTTTCTTCTCATCAGCTGAAACTGTTTCTTCCACAGTCCTTGAGGCATCTGAAATCTGCTCAGCAGTTCCCCTGCTCTACTAGATAATGACCTCAGAGTGTTCAAATCACCAGAAAATAAAGAACCAAGTACCTGTGAGCTCCACCACAGCCGTAATACAATGTCCACTTCTCACTCCTGATATTATCCTGGGACCAGTCCCAAGTGTGCACGTGACCTCAGTAATCTCCTGACTTGATGTGGCTAAATCTAGCTGTTACATCACCAAACATACATCTCAACAGGGAAGCAAAGGTGAGATGTGAGTTGTCTTTTTAAACTGCCACTCAGACATCTTATTTTAAACTTGCTTAGAACTGCTTACAGATTTGCATAGCATTAAATAGCAAACAAGGGGTGGGATGCTGGCCCTGCCTCCGTTGTACTAAATGTAAAGATCATTTCACTCTGTTACCAAATCAAGCAGTTTTGTTTAAGATTATGAAAGTTCTACCTAATTTGCCTTCAAAAAAACCTTTTTTTTTTTTCCTCTTAGAATAATAGAATCATAGAAATGCTAGGGTTGGAAGGGACCTTAAAAATCATCTACTTCCAACCTCCCATGTCCATTTTAACTAGACCAGTTTGCTGAGAATCCCACCCAACCCACTCTTGAAAATTTCCAAGGATGGGGCAGCCTGTTCCAGTGCTCACCAACCTCATAGTAAAGCACTTCTTCCTAATATCTAATCTAAACCTACTGTCCTTAAATCTAAGACTTGAATTGTTGTCTGAAATCAGCAGCTTTTTGATCTATAGCAGTTAAGGTAGCATATGAAAAATACAAAGAGTTTTAGGAGAAAAAAACCCAAAACATTAAGATATACTGCATTGATTTAGCTCTTTTTTAGCAATATCTTGTATGTAGTCCTCTTCTTTCTATCCCAAAAGTAAACTCAAGGAAATACAAAGAAAGATTACACAGATGATCAACATCTTGATTAAGTTTTGATTAAATAAATTAAGATGCATTGTTCTGTAAAAAGATGATTGAAAGGTATTTATGAAAGGTAACAATAACATCATGGACACAACTAAAAAGAACTGAATAGGAAGTAACCATTTATTCTCTAAGGATATCCTAAGGAAGGGGGACATTTTCAAAGAAAAAAAAGAGATCTTTTATTCACACCTGATTGAAAAAAATATCACCATAAAGAATAAAGGATAAAAATATCTATATAAAAATTAATATAAAAATTAATTTATTAGTTCTTCATGTAACAAAAAAAAAGATGTTGATGTTGCATCAAATTGATGTCTGATGTTGCATCAAAACATTAGCTCAGAAACTCCCTGATCTAAAAGTTGATGGGCAGTGTGAGAATTATCAATGTTCCTGTAATCATTTCACAAGTTTCATGTATGCAAGCCACTGTCAGACACACGAATATATGACAGACTGTATCTAGTAGCTTATTGAATTATGTCCATTAAAAGGAGGAAACAAATATTGTGGCTGGAACAAAGATAATAGGATGAAAATATATGATTTGCGTCCCCTTTGCTTGGGCTTTGCCAAACAGGCCTTGGAGAATGACTGTAAGAAAACATTTCTTCCATCTTTCTGGCATGTATTACTATCAACCTCTGATCAAAAATTGCAGCTTTGGAGAATACTTGATAAATAAAATGCTCAAAGCTGTTGTTACCAAAGGATGGACAACACTCTACTTTCACTCTACTATATTTTGGTTCAATACTTAAAAGGAGGAAACAAATATTGTGGCTGGAACAAAGATAATAGGATGAAAATATATGATTTGCATCCCCTTTGCTTGGGCTTTGCCAAACAGGCCTTGGAGAATGACTGTAAGAAAACATTTCTTCCATCTTTCTGGCATGTATTACTATCAACCTCTGATCAAAAATTGCAGCTTTGGAAAGTACTTGATAAATAAAATACTCAAAGCTGTTACCAAAGGAAGGACAACACTCTCACTCTACTATATTTTGTTTCAATATTATAGTGAAATAAATAATGATTTCTAAAGCATGGATAATGCATTGGTAATGCCAGAAAAGAAATTTAAATGCAACCAAAACTTTTTACTTTATAAAAGCATAGAGATTTTAGGTTGATTATACCAATAAAAGCAGAAGTTGCACTTAGAAAATAGAAATTAGGAAAGCAGATACTGAAAATATATCTGAGATCATGGTTATTTTTCAAACTGACATGCAAAGATCTCTGAGGCTTTTCTCAGCTCTGGAAGCCAAGAAACCAGCTGAAGAGTATTTCACTGTCACAGTGCTGCCCTCAGAGCAGGTCATATTTGAGATTTCACAGGTAAGCCAGTGGAGTAGCACTGCAGACTTAACATCCAAAAACATCTGTGAGCCTACCTAAACTCACTACTCTAAAATCTGCTAGAATAGATTGCCTCAAAAAGGCCATGACACTCCATGAATGAAGATTTTTTATTTAATATTATAAGAAAAGTTATCTTTTACTCACATTGTGATATGGGAAGGGGCTGTATAGCAATTTACAATCACTTCTAAACCCATTTTTCTATGAACTAATCTTACCTGTGATTTGCTGGCATCCATGAGTAGACTTTTGTGTGAGACCCAAGCAAAGAAAAGGGAACTCATGCCCTGTGTTTAGAGCTTTTGTCACCAGCAATACATAAGATATTAGTAATTCCTTTGAATGTCTAAGAAATTTTTGTAACATAAAAATTACTGTGGAAAATAATTTCTTGACTACAGTTTGAAAAATTCATGCCATGACTGTGATACATTTTTTGTGCATCAATGTGACTTGTGAAAAATGAAAAAGCCAAATCGCACTAATTATATCCATAAAACTTGGACTATGAAACATATTGTTGAACATTTTTTTGATTTTTTCTGATTAATTACCGTGTTTTTCTTTCAGAACAATTATAAAATCTACAAATTGAAACAAAGCATGCCATTATAAATCTTGATGATCAAGTCTGGATTAAATTTTTTACAGCATTTTGCTGAAATGGGCCTGTTTTGTTTGTTGATTATGTTTATCTAATGACTATGGAAGTTTTTCTTTTCCCAATGAATCTTTCACTACTAAAATCATAGGGATTTATAAAGGTCAATTTTATGTAGTGGAAGAAAATAAATTTTTTTTTTCTTTTTAATTATGTTCCCATTGAATTCAGATGATGCTAAAATAATTTCAATAAACTTTTGTGTTGTTTTCTGAAAACTGAGTGTTAAAAAGGGAAGGAAAATAAGATCTTTTTATAGCACCATAAGTAAAAATATGAAGAAAAATAAACAACTAATCTAGTCTGTTTATAAATTATATAAAAAACTCTAAAAGAAAAAAACCCAGAAATTTCTCATTATAATGCAAAATTACTATTTTTTCAATGTTTTAAGTCAAGAAAAGCAGGTTCAGAAATGTATCTTATGTAAGAATTTTCAGCACTGTTATAAACACTCATTTAAAAAAAAAAAAACTGATATTGATAGTGGTTTACTTGATCAAATTACTTCCAAAATCTGATTAGACATTTTGTGAAAAACAAGAAACAAGAAATAATTCTGTTTTATTGTATAAATTTTACATTAATTGCTTTTCATTTCCTTTGAGAGTACTAATTTTTTCCTACTCTATAAGAATAAATATCCAATTTTCCTCTCTGTATTTTTATTATTTTGTGTAAAAGTACTGTCATCTCCCATTGTATACATAAAATAAACAGTCTCATTTTTTTATGAGTCATAGAGTAATAACATTAAAACATTATTTGTTTTTATTTCAAAATGCCATATAAGTACTTTCATATACTGGCTTGGGACAGCTTAAATTTGCTTTAGAACAAGGTCAGAAATTTTTTTTATTTGCTTTCCTCAAAGTAGCTTTCCATAACCATATAGTGCTACAACTCAAAATACAGTAAATTCAGTAAAGAGACAAAGAAAAAAAAAATCAGCTCTGAAACTTAATATTGAACACAGTGACCCTAATTGTTAGAAGCCAGTTGAAGCAGTATTCTTGCTGTTGGTTGGTAGAATCATTTTCTTCTTTAGAATTGTGGTATTATTCTTTAGAGTTATTATTTCATTTTCTGGTATTTCAAAATCAGGGTGAACAAGCATTTTCACTTGGTATGATTTTACTTAGTGGGGAAAGCAGCCCCCTTTGCCTTTAAATAAACACATTGGTTCTATTGCATGTTTCTCTTTAAAAAAAAAATTAAATCCCAGAAATATTGATAAACCCTCTCAGCATTCACATTTTCAGTGCACCATAATCAGGTGTCCAAGTTCTCATTTTTTATTTGCTGAAGAAAAGCATATTATATTTTTCTTATTATGCTTGCAGTAAAAAAATAATTGAATACTAGAAGGGCTTGCAGGTGCATGTAATACATTTGACAAAGTCCAGGTACACAGAAGAAGAAACCAGAAATTAAATTGATTTTTTATGGAATGGCAAGACTTTTACTTCACTTGAAGGTTTTGCTTTTCCACAAAAGAAATGCAACAAAGGAAATCCAACAGTTAAGAAAAATATATAACAAAACAGTATATAATAAAAAATTAATAATTTCAGAGCTAAACCATATGTCATCCTCCTGCTAATAATGGAAAGAAACATGTTAGGTACTTTTAAAAAGACAAAGATAAATAAATCCACATGTGTGAAATTATTAACCCATTTTTTAATACTGTATATCTTTTCTCTGCTTGAATTTGGGTTGAAAACCAAGAAGAGGCTCCCAAAGTGTTCAGAAGTGTTTATTTTCCTTTAATGAAGCAAACATCAGAATTCACCAGAACAGTGAATTTTATATCAACTTCAACATCTCTAGTGTATTTCCCAGAGATGTACTTTCTCATGGTAAAGGTTTCACAACCTAAGGTACAGTGTCAGTGGAAAAAGAGGAGTAGCATGACTCTTATGTTGGATGCCTAAGATACAAACACATGGGAGGCTGAGGATCAAGTTCTTATCCTGCTCAATTCAAAACAATTCAAAACCCTTCACATACAAGGGGACAAGAGCACTCACCTCACACTGAAACTCCTGTATTTGCCCTGAATACCAATCCAATATAGTGCTTCACAAAGACTTCTGCTGTCCTTCCAGCAGAGAACAAAAGCAAATGTCAGAATCTCAGAAGTCACCATGTAACAGAA